ACAGGGATCATGGAGGGGTTCTGTTGACCCAGATGCATCCCGCTCTGCTTCCCCGAAGCCACAGGTGATTGCCGCTGTGCGATGTGAACACCGCCCAGCACAAGAACCCATCGTCGCACAAAATGCTGTCAGAGCATGGGTAAAAATGGCACAGAGTGTCAAAATTCAGTAAAAGCGCGTAGCAGCCAACAATAGCATCTGGATGAGGATTAATTTCAATGCATTATTCCAACCATGTCCAGTCATGCCATGGAATTGAAATCAAGTTGGGATCCAACAGAAGCGGGACAGCCCGCAGTGATGATGATCGAATCAGGTGACCGTGCACAGCCACAAACCGCCTACCCCGTAGAGTCAAGCCACAGCAGGTACTGAGCAAGAGCGCACAGCAGCTGAGGCCCGGCCGCCCCTGGCCACACCTACCCTGCCCTGTCCCGCCAACCAGAACTCATCGCGGACGGCAAGACAGAACAACAGCGTCAACAATCCACGCTCGACTTTTCAGCAATTTGCAAACCCACGGCTCCGCAAAGAGCAGGCGCACCTCCAAACTTCTCCAATTATCTTATACCCATACTTCGCGCGTTGTTCTTGCGCCATCATTGTGATCCTCAAACAGCGACCGCAATCCGACCCATAGCTCCCCACAAGTCAGAAGCAAGCATCGAAGCTTTGAGGTAGGTCGTGCTCTCCTCGCCTTCGCGTCCGCCCTCTCCTTCCAGGTCGCTCCGTCGAGATGTCGAAACACTCTTGCGTTAGACCTCGCAGCCAGGCTCAATCCGATGCACTGCTCTTCTTTTGGCCATTATGGTTGGCCGTAAAAATACACGCTCTTCGCTGCAGAAACTGATCAAGCAATTTTCTGCTTTAGGCCGCTCCAGGAAATCCACCTCGACGACCACCTCCGCTCCCGACGCCGAACTCGACTCTGCGACACCGACACCGACACCGACACAACACCATTCTCATTCCCCCAGCCGAACATCAATTTCTACAGTGACGTCGTCCAACATGGCTGAGGAAGAGGACTTTAGCTCCTTGCCCCTGACGGACCGCTGGGTTCACAAGGTGCGATGGGCATTTTCCACGCTAACGCCCTACTCCCGGATATGGCGTGGGCTAACATAGGTGCTCTATGATGGATAGGTCTGGAAAGTCCGCAAGCAAGCATACGAAGAAGCCGCCAAGCTATTCGAAAATAGCCCAGACGAATACGACCCTGTCTTCAGGCCATTTGTTCAGGACTCTAGCTTATGGAAGGGTGCTGCGGCAGACTCGAATGTTGCGGCCCAACAAGAAGGTCTCGGCGCTCTCTGTGTCTTTCTGAAGTTTGGCGGTCGCGAAGGAGCCGTTCGAGCCAGGTCACATGCCATCACGCCGATTGTCGAGAAAGGTCTCTCGTCGACCCGAGCTGCGACCAAAGCTTCCGCAGTCGAAGCGCTGCTGCTGTTCATCGAGCTCGACGTTCCCGGGCCTGTTATTGAGGACATCCTCCCCGCGCTCTCTAACAAGCAACCAAAAGTCGTCGCCGCGTCACTCGCCGCCCTTACACAAATATTTCATAATTATGGCTGTAAGACAGCAGACCCTAAGCCGGTGCTGAAGGTTCTGCCCAAAGTCTTCAGTCACGCGGACAAGAATGTGCGAGCTGAGGCAACAAATCTCGCCGTCGAATTTTATAGATGGCTGCGGGAGGCTATGAAGCCGATGTTTTGGGGCGATCTCAAGCCTACCCAGCAAACCGATCTCGAGGCGCAGTTCGAAAAGGTCAAGGCAGAAGGCGCGCCGAAACAGGAGCGTCTCCTACGGTCTCAGCAAGCTGCCAAGGAGAGAGCTCCTGTTGGTGGTGCCGCTGAGGAAGAGTATGACGACGGAGGCGATGTTGAGGAGCCAGCAGAGATCGACGCGTTCGATTTGGCCGAGCCGCAAGATGTGTTAAACAAACTCCCGAAAGACTTTTACGACAACCTGGGTTCATCAAAATGGAAGGAGAGGAAGGAGGCTCTGGAAGCGCTATATGCCATTGTCAATGTTCCGCGAATCAAGGATGCCGACTTCGGTCAGGTTAACCACAGCTTGGCCAAATGCATGAAGGATGCCAACATAGCGGTTGTCACTCAGGCAGCGCAGTGCATCGAGCTGTTGGCCAAGGGTATGCGGAAAGGCTACTCCAGGTATCGATCAATCGTCATGCAGCCGATCATGGAGAGGTTGAAGGAAAAGAAGCAAACGGTTTCCGATGCCCTAAGTGCGGCCTTGGACGCGGTGTTCCTGACGACCAACCTCACCGACTGTCTCGAGGACATCATCACGTTCATGGCGCACAAGAACCCTCAAGTCAAGGAAGGCACCATGAGGTTTCTTGTGAGGTGCTTACGGACGACAAGGGATGTTCCCGAAAAGCAGGAGATTGCAACGATCGTTGAGGCAGCCAAGAAGTTGCTATCTGAAGGAAGTGAGAGTCTGCGGTCTGGTGGTGCCGAAATTCTAGGTACCATTATGAAGATCATTGGTGAGCGAGGAATGAATCCCCACCTCGAGGGCCTTGATGAAATTCGCAAGACCAAGATCCGCGAGTTTTACGAGACAGCCGAAGTCAAGGCTAAGGAGAAGCCAAAGCCAGCGCCGAAGCCGGCACCCGCTGCCCGAGCTCCTCCGAAGAAAGTGATGGGTGGTGGCAAGAAGGCACCTGTTGGCATGAGGAAGCCAGCCCCAGCGCCAATCGCCGCACCACCTTCTCCAGAACCACTCCCACCTCAGCCAAGCTCCCGTGCCGCACCGGGCAGCAAGCTAGGGATGCCGAAGCCGGGTGGTCTTGGAGGACTTAAAGCGCCACAGAAGCGAACCCTAGCTGGGCCTGGTACTGCCTCACCACGTCGGCCCGCACCCGCGCCATCCCCTCCTGTGGAAGATGAGCCTCCTTCTCCGTCTGCAACAAGGCAAGCACCGCGCATAGGGTTGGGGAGAGGCGGTCTTGCAGGCCGCTCCTTGGCTAAGCCTATGGCTCCAGTGCAACAAATGCCACCCCCATCACCGACGCCAACGTCTGGTTTTACGGCAATCGAGCGCGCAGAACTTGAAGAGCTCCGCGATGCCAATGAGCGCCTCCTCAAGCAAATAGAAGATGGTCGACACGACAGGTCAAAGCTCATGTCCGAGATACAGGAACTGAAGAACCAAAATGCAAGCTTGATCGAAGACCACACCAGAGACGTCCTCTCGATAAAAGCCAAGGAAACACAGCTGGTCAGGGCACGCAGTGATGCAGAGGCGGCAGAGCAGACGAATGAGAGGCTACGACGCGAACTCGACCGCCTCAAGCGTGCTCTCAGTAAAGCCGAGGCTGCTGGCGCTGCTGGCCCGGGTAGCCCCAACTCAACTCATCTCGGCATGATGAGCCCCACACACGACGACGCGGGCATCTATCGTGACGGTGGGTTTGGGTCGGGCGCGACTAGGAATCGTATGAGCTTCACAAGCACCATGAGCGAGGAGAAGGAGAACGGTAACAGCGTGCCGTATCCACGCAACAAACTAAGCCCAGAGCTTCAAGCTCAGTATTCTGGCAGCGGGCCCAGCAGTGGCCGTGGCAGCCCTGCCCGAGGATTTAGAAGGGATATGGCCGTGGATGATAGAGAAGTGCGGAACAACGAACCTCCACAGGGGTACACCAGCTACGCCGATAGGTCGGGCAGCCGGGCAGGCAGCCGGCAAGAAAGCAGATTAGGCAATCCACCTTCAACCGGGGGCGCATCGGCGGGAACTGGAATGGAGAGCTGGAAGAGGGCGGCAGAGGTGACAAGCCAGCTGAAGGCAAGGATCGAACAGATGAAGGTATGTTGATGACTATGCCGAATGTGAGGAGACATCTGTGGCTAACTATTTCACCAGGCCAAGCAGGGCATCAAGTCATCCAATGACCCCTCCCCTTACTCGCGTTAAACTCGCGGCTCCTCGTCGCTGCTGCACATTTATGATGTTTGATTGCATTTCCAAGGCGTCTGTTGGGATGATTGAACCATACATACCCCTTTTATTTACACTTACTTTTGCTCATTTTCTGTCCTCAGTTTCTTACTGGAGGATGAACCTAATTACTCTCCCCGGGTGGATGCAGTGGAGCATATTTGTACATCGACGCTCTCTAGGGAGTTCTGCTGTTCCTAATTTTTTGTTTGTGGTCCGGTCTGTCCAACACATGAATGATTTTTGGGAAAACATGGCACCGTTGGGGTGCATGTGGTAGTCATGGTTGTAGGACTTGGAACCGTGGTGCTGATGTGTATCAAGCTCCCCTTGGAATGGAACTGTTTGTCACTTTCTGTCTGGCTAGAGGAGTTGATTATTCTGAGGTAGCGAGAGTGAGTCTTGTTCTTGATGCACAAAGAGGCCGGCAGGAGAGGGCGTCGGGTGTACATGAGTGCCATGGCGACAGCCGGTTATTATTGCTACCAAGTAATGCTTGCAAAAGCACTTGAATGATGTACATGCCACACTTCTAAGAAAGATGATAGCAGTGTTGTGGGTTAAGACACCGGCAGTGATTCATTGTACCCACAACGTCCAGCAACACTGAGCCTTCAAATTGACGGCCGGGAGGGAAACAATGAGGAGCAAGTACCCAGTTATGTTTGTCCTACTGGGACAGTCGCAACATTACCATCACCAGATAGCTACAGAATGAATGACACATCAAGGACAGCTCTTGTATGTATTTGCCAAAACAAAACACTTGGCACGCTGCAGCCATACCTGCCTGACCCACCTTAACTCTGCTGGGTCCGGTACATTCAAGCCGAAGTTCTCCATCGTGGAGTGGAGATCCGGCCGCCGCACTCGGCCGTTACTGTGGACGGGAAAGCGCATCACCGGTACCTTTATCGTGCTTGCTTTGCTTTGCATTTTACTAACGCCAGTCCAACCAGCGTTACCAGCCCAAGCAACGACCCCATATCTGCGTCGATTACTGCAGCTTCTTTCAACAAAAACTAAACTAAAAGGCGCGGTTAGTACAGTGGTTAGTATTCTCGCTTCCCATCTTTCATCTTGGATCAGCGAGGGACCCGAGTTCGAATCTCGGATCGCGCAGCTACGAAGAGTTTCTTTTTATTTTTTTTTTTGCTTTTGCATCTGTATTGCTTTACGGGCGTAAGCCTGTATGGCACGCAACTTTGCTGCTTTAATGAGAAAATACCTAGTAGTGAAACTCTAATTTGTTTTTTTCTATTTGCCCAAAGAACAGCACTGGCATTCACCTCATGTGCTGATTTGGATTACACGACCCTGCTTCACATACTTACATTCCTGGTACTCCCAGGATATGTTGAACCGCTTTGTTTAGGGGTCGACTGACGGCTTGAAAACAATAATTGTTTGCACTTCCCGAAAGTCATCTTGACGGACAGAGTATTTGCTTAATACTATGATGCACTCTGAATCATATTATCAGTCGCAGTCGCAGCAGAGGGCCACATGGCAGGCGTTGGTGTAACCATTGTCAAACTGGCCCATCCATTGGCAGAAGGAGATGTAACTGGCAGAATACCGGGTGATTCGACTATGGAGGTTCAGGTAACAAGATGATGGCCGTGACAGCCTGCGAGCATTCCGACTGACCCGGTGTATGTTTGTGCCAGCTAACTAAGTATGAAAGCGGTGACTATTGTGTCACCCTACAGACGATTGGATTAAGTTACCAGCAGTGATACGAAGACATGTGAAGTTAGTACCCTCAGGTATCAGTTGTCTCTACTACTAGTAATATCACGAACAGCAATCCGTGTTTTGACAAACACAGCTGGATCTTCACTGTCTTGATGGCGTGACATTGTCCAAAAAAGAAAAACCAAAAAAAAAACCCACCAACTGATTGAATAATCATCTCTCTAACCAATTGATTACTATTACCCACGTTTTCCACCCTCGTCTTCATTAATCATCATCATATCAATGAGGCGTAGTACCTCACCAGACTGTCTACCCATAAAAAGGCCTCACTCAACACGATATTTCTCCCACCCACTGGCATCATCTTCACCCCCCACAAAATCATCACCATCATACAGATCCTCTGGGTCCTCGCCGACCATAACCTCCAGTTCACCATCAACACAGCTTGAACAGGCAGGCTTATCCCGACCCGTGGCAATATCGAACGCCAGCTTGGACACCATCCCGATTCCTCTTGCCAGTTTCTTGGCCTCCCACTGCACTGTCAGGACCCTGGTGAAGAAGCAAGGTCGGTTGGCGGCGGTGCTGTGGGGAGTTGAGTTTGCGTTGACGACAACGTACTCTTCTTCTTCGTCAGAGTCTTCGTCACTGGATGTTGCTACTACTTCTGAACTGGTGTCCGATTTCGTCTCTGATGATGGTCTCTGGAACTGATAGAAGTATCGGTATGTGGCGATATCCTCGAATGATTCACCTAGATTGTCTTCCTCGGAATCGACGATACCAACGTTGTGCTTTTGCTCCGTTGCCCAGTTCTTCGCCTGCTGGTTCCAATATGCCGCTGTCCTCTTGACATGAGCAGTAGCCGAGACATTCTTTGCCTTTTTCTTCTCGCTTTGAACAGCATGCTGTTGTTCCGTAGAAACGGCGCGAGCCTTGCAGCTGTTGCACAACGGGGAGACATTATTCACGACATCGACATTGCGGCGAGACTCTGGTGACATCCGGCTAGTCTCTTGACAACATGGCCTTCCGGCGGCTGCGGCTCCAGTGTAATACGCCTTGCAGTGGTGCAATCTTGTTGTTTTGACGTACACTTGGCAGTCGGTCTTGTGGTGTTGGGTGTGGCGGTCTCCTTCTGGGCTGATTTGGGGACGGTACTGTTTCTGGTTTGTGGCGGAGATCTTGGTTCTGGTTGATGAGAGGTTGGTGAGGTTTCGCTTGTACCGCTGGTCTTAGCAGGTGGCCTGCCGGCAGGCACATATGAAGTGAGTTATCTCTCGATAGCACATGGTTGTGACCCGATCTTAAGAGGTCTGTTTGGGTTGTAGGGGAAGTTGCTGCAGATGGTGGTGCGTGGTTAAGGGATGTGTGGTGATGTGCGCGGCTGCCAGGTCTCGCCCTCGATGGTCGTGGATGTAAATCGGGGGCAAGACTTGGTTGGGATGGACGCCGTTTTACTTACGCTGGTAGAACTGCAAAACGAGATTGAGTTGATGAGTGAATGAGAAAATACTTTAGGGAGGAAAGGACTGAGACTTATATCATTCACTCTGGACTTATGGTCCTGACTTAGTGGGTGACGCATGGTACATCGCAGTTGGAGTTGTTGAACAATGGTATTGTTCCGTGTGTAAGTGCTTTGTACAATGTCTTATGGGTTGACCAACTAGGTGGACGTTCGTCACAGCCACTGTACTACCTACATGTTCATGGGGAACTGGTGGTGCGCAAAGAACAAATGGGACTGAACTATGTGGAGATGCGAGTCTCCAGGATTTTAACTACGAACAGTTGAAAAAGGAGATGACGGGTGTATTCGAGATGTGCTGGACATGCCTTGGGGATTCACTTCGCAGGCATCTCTCAGGCTGACACCATCTGTACGACTTATTTCCTGTACAAACATGGTGTAATAGGGAGAGCGATCGGTATTGAACTGAACACCACCCTCTAAGCCTCAAGCTGTGACCACGAAACGGTGAAGGGAAACCAGACGCGGTACGTTCCAGCAGGCTTCAATGCACAAATCCGAACAGACTTCAAATATCCATTCTCTGCACCATGATAATCCGATACGTAGGTAATCACTTATACGCGAGGGCAAATTATCTGACACACTACGAAGTACTATTTATCATATCGTACTATATCTCCACATTTCAGTTCGTAAATGACCATCTACCAAACCGTCATCATAAGTACTATACACAAAGGAGTCCACTAAGTCTTGTCGTTCGGCGTCACAGGATACACATCCTGACCGTAGGTCGCATTCAAACTGACAGCCCCCACAACATCGCCGCTCTCAAGACGGATATAAGTGTCCACCACCAGATCCTCGAGATTCTCCAGAGACACAACAACCTGCCGAGAACCACGTATCCAGTCGCCGTAGCCGCCGTAGCCAGTATGCTGCCCGAAGCAGAGGTTGATCCCGTTGCCTTTGACAGTCAAACCAGGAACAAGGCCCTGCCACTTATAGCACCATGTGTTCCCGTGATCGTGGCCCGTAAACAGCGCCATCAAGCCTGGAGTAGTGGTGATGGCCTGCATGAAGGGTGTATCCTGCCCACCGTACTCGCAGCTTCCATCATCTGTCCCGTCGGCACACCACCCCTGCCCTTGCTCCGAGACGGGCTCGTCGTTGATACCTGGCTGGCGATGTGCGTCAACCCTTGCATTCTGAAGAGCTAGAGACGCATTCACGGGGATGTGGACGAATGCCAACGACGGGATGGCTCTGCCCGCTTTGCTGACGAGGGCGGCGTTTGTGTGCTGGAACCATTCCACGACGCTGACATCCACCCAGTCTGGCTGTCCGATGAGCTGTCCGGTAGTTGGGTCCTTCTGCTGGAAGAAGTGACCGCCACGGCTGTCGAAGAACCAGAGTAAAAGCGAGGGAGTGCAGACTGACGCAAGTTCATGGGTGCTACAGTTTGAATCGTAGACAGGGAGAAAGTAATTGGTCACGCCGGCATTCTTGTCAAATACCTTGGGGTTGGTGCGGGAGTTGGACCACCGTTGTTCGCGGGCCAGTATTGCCTTGCGGGAGATGTTGTAGCCGCTGTCGTGGTTGCCGTATGTTGACGCCCAGGTCAGGTCTCGCTGGACCATGGGGCTGACAATCTGTTCGACGTAGTGCGTGCTGTTCTCCAAGAAGGTGCACTCGCCTGTGATGAGGTCGCCGTTGAGCACGACCAGCCCGATTTCCGGCTCGGCGTCTAGGATCTGGTTCATGACCTGCACCGATCGAACGTCTTGCTGTGGGCCCCATGAGGTCCAAGCATCTTCCATATAGTGTCAGTTGTTGGAATTTGAGTTTTATTATTTCGCAATGAGATTGGGGGAGAAGACGTACTCTCGCCAAAGTGGAGGTCCTCGAAGATGGATATCTGAAAAGTACCGTCTCTCTTGAACGTGAGTGGACCTCTTGGCTTAGCTTTGATAGTGTCAAGAGGTAGCGGCCAATGTGGCATGGAGAAACGCAACAGTCCAACGATGGCAATGAACAGCGTCGTGAGGATCACGACTTTCCATGCTGAGAGACTGATATAGCGGCCGAGCATGGCCGGCGGCCGAGACGGACTCGCCTGATAAACGCTCTTCTCGGATCCCGAGTTTCCATCTCCTAAGTATACCTTTCTCTCCACCCTACCTGACGTTATATATGCCATTGATTACAACCCTGCTAAGTTAAGTGCGGCGGCGGCCCGGTAGGACCTTTGTGTTGCGGTCAACCGCGATACTACCAGCCCTTCATGCGCTGGCCTGCTGGGCCATCGGAGCACAATGCTCTGTGTCCGTATCACAAGTTGCGGGAAGTTGACGTCGATGATCAGGAAATGTCGTCGTTCGGGAGTGGTGGTTGGAGAAAGCCCGTGACTTGCCGGCGGTTCAATGTCGCTAGGATTGCCGGTAGCCCCTACCCTGGGAACTCAAGCTCACCGGAGCTGTTTCGGAACACGCTCCAGTTTGCCCGGATTTTTGTTTGACACCTCGGTTTCTATCAAAAATGTTTGTGGACACCAATCACACAGAAACACATTCCACGTTGGACCATGATGAAATGGGGTCTAAAGCTGGTGATTCACGGTGCTGTTGGGGTGGTCCGAGTCAGCCCGATCTTTCAGGTTTATTTGTAAGTATCCCGTAGGTCACTCGGTAAGTTTGCACAACACGAGGAATTTGGAGCTAGCTTCGGAGGGTTGGGCCTTTACTGATCCAGTGATCATTTGCGAATGGGAAGCTGTGGCGCGATGATGAGTCGCAGCTCCAACGGAAGTCCATGGGAAAGAGCAATTATACATGCGTCAAATGGGATTGCGCCAGTCCCTCCTTCCAACCGCTGATTCCAACAGTGCGGAATTGCCCCAACTTCGCAAGGAAGGAACGGAACTGCCGCCCGGAAGGTGCAC